GAGAGAGAGAGAGAGAGAGAGACTGACATTGTATGAGCAGCGACATTGGGGGATACATTGGAGACTGGGTTCATCGGGCTATGGTGGCTGATCCTCCCTATCTCCTTCTTCCTTCGTGCGAGGAATGAGCCCTTGTGGGGCCCTTATCAGACATACAAGTGTTCTGGCTTCGGCCCCTAGCAAGCCTGTGCCCGCCCTAAGTGAAGGCGGGCCTGAATATCCACGTGAGGCCTGTTTTCAACATTTTTCCATATGTGGGTACTCGGACAGTTGCAGCACGCCAGTTGGTTACAGAGCAATTTGAGCCTCCAGGCTCTTTCGAGAAGCAAAGGGCTGCGCTGAACAGTTGAGCCCAGGGCTGAGGCGGTTGCGCCCTGGGCACACGCTGTGTGAGGCCGACACATCACGGACTGGTTACGGCCCAATGAGGAAGCAGTATTGTCATCACACAATGGCTGCGAGCCAATGAGAATGGTGCAAACACTTGGAGGCTGGGTGGCTGTCTGGACGTGCCTAACTGCACGAGGCCCAGGCCAGTATCTGAAACTGTGCCTGGGCGCAGATACTTGGAGCCAGAGGCAAGCTACTGCCTTCCCCCCCCATGCCTGGACAGGTCAGCCAGCAGTGGACTTTTTCCGTAAAGGAAAGTGTGTGCCCCATGTGGGGGCATTGTGGCCTGAGCAGGCATTGCGGCCACGCTGCTGCTTGCCATGCGACACTGCGCTATGCAAGCAGGCTGGGGCGCACGCGGGCGCTAAGAGGCGAGAGGGCGCTGCAGTGGCAGCGGGCGCACGGCGGCCATAGCCGGGCCGAGCATGTGGTGGTGGGTATTGGCGATGGTGGTCTTCGGGTAGGAGGCGCATGCAGAGGGGATCCAAGGGGTGATGAGAGGAGGAGAGAGAACGTACCTGGTGTATGCTGGTGGTCGGCATTGGTGTCGACGTCACGTACATTGGTCTTCGACTTCGATGTGATCCAGTCGCAAGAATGTAGATAGAGTAGATAGGCGGAGTAGAGTAGGCCGGGCGCTGGGCGCCAGACAGTAGGATCGACATTGGATACAGTGTTGGTTTGACCGGAGAGCATCTGCATTGACACTCAAGTTCATTGTATTGCTCTTATTTGTATGGAATCTTGGTGCATTGTGCTCTTTGCTTGCTACATGACTATCTGGTCTACTTCGAGATTTTGCAACTTGGTTTTCTGTTTGTCGCTCTCGCTCATATTCCTTGCATTCGTCTCTCCTCCCACATTTCGTCCGTGTATGTTATGTGGACTCAGCGCACTTCCATACTTGCTGCGCGGAGTCCGTTCACACTCGTGTGATGATGATGGTTGTCCAGTCCAGTCGATGTCCATGCTGAGTTGGATCTTGGTATTTCAGTCTTCCACTGCGCTATTTTTGTATTGTCTCTGAGAGGTTGGTTCCTGGTTCTGATGGATGCCGATTAGGCATGCGACACCGTCGCTGTGTGAAGAACGGGCCAATGTTCGGCTGGCAAGTGATCCGCACTCCCTGTGGTGCGAGTGTTATGAGGGTATCGACCGTGCTACCGTCATCCCTCCAATAGAACACACGGTCATTATCGCTGCACCTGGACTAGAAGTTGCCCCAACTACAGCACGTCTGGACTGCAAGTTGCCCCCAACTACAGTGTTATGGATGTATGTTCCATTCGTTGGAAGACGGCAGTCCTTGCCTCCATACGGTCTCTGACAGTCTTCCGGACATTCATCTACAACGCATCTGGACTGAAAGTTGCCCCCAAATATCTGCCATGTTCTCTCTGTGGAGCAGGAGCTAGATATCTGCAAGTGCTACACCTCTGTTTTCGTAGTCTTCCGCCGAACAGAACGTACGCCGTACGGTCATTATTGCTGCATCTGGACTGACAAGTTGCCCCAAATACGGTTATAATGACCAGGCGTTCTATTCGGGGGAAGAGATTTGTACGTGGAAGCTGGGTTTTGGATGTGATAGCGGCTGTGGTCGGGGCTGGCGCTGTGTGGCTGCGCAATGCCTCTGGTGCCAGCGGTGTCTCGATTGTAGGTTCTGCGTGTGAACAGACCTTTCTTTGCTTCCTGCGGCAGGTGGGGGGGGGGAGGTGCTGGCTTATGATGGGGTGTGAATCTACAGTCTGACGAGTCTTACCTGTTTTTCTTTTTTCCCTTTTTTAAGTTTTTTTTTTGTTTTTTTTCAATCAACGATGATTCCGCAGGTTCACCCACTGAAACCTTGTTTTGACTTCTCCTTCCTCTAAATGATGAGCTTGAATGAACTTCTCTGGAGGCTGTGTCAGACTTCTTGAATGTTTACCTTCTTGTCTATCCGACTTTCAGTCTATTGGACTTTTCGTCTGCATTTTAGCAAGTGGGGTACAGCTTGTCTGGGATGCCAGGGCAAAGAAAGAAAGGAAAAAAAAAGAGAAAAGGAGATTATCTGGGATGCTAGTGAGCAGAAGAAGGGCCTATATTTGAGCACACTGGTCGGGTGTGAATGATCATCGATGGTTCTGTTGGTAAACTGATGTACTTTCGTGCCATCTTTTCACGTTCTCCCACTTGCTGCCAATGCAGGAACAAAAGATACGGTCATCAATGAACCATCGCCTGTTGGGCACTAGATGTGTACTGATCCGCAACAGTGATGGCAACTCCACACAGTGAGCAACATGGACAACAGGAATGTGAAGATAGGCGATACGGGGCGGGGAGAGAGAGAGAGAGAGAGAGAGAGAGAGAGAGAGAGAGAGAGAGAGAGAGAGAGAGAGAGAGAGAGAG